CTGCTCTCTTCTGTCACATCCTTGTCTTTATTTTTCATATTGACTGCGCATAATTTCGCTGGCTTCTGCGGCAGATCACACTATAAATAAACGCATAATCGCTTACTTTATGTCCTCCGTGTTTACTTCTGTATGACAACGTGCTGCGCAAGTGTTGCCAAGTCCACAGGTTTCCTTTGGAATTGGGCTACTTTTTCACTTTTGTTTTTCAAGTCTGTGGGCTGAAGCGGCACCAGTAACGTGATATAGACCCCCCTGGAACGCAGTTGGGCTAGTTTTGGACTAGTTTTGAGAAGCAATTGGGCAGATTTGGTTGTGAAAATCCTTCTATCCTGTTCGTGTTGTTCTTTTGCACATGCGGGTCAGTTCAGAACCATGATCTGTTCACACTGGAAATCTGATTTTGGCCACATTTAAAACAAAAATGTGAGCAGTTATACAAAAAAAAAATCAGATTCGAGCAAACTGAGTGGAATTGACACTAAGGCATGCAAATATTGGCTAAAATTTGTGGGCAAAAAACAGTCAATTTTCTAGGGCTGCCCCCTAATAGTCGACTAATCGTTTGTTGACCAGAAGAGGCTTGGTCGACCAAAATTTTATTAGTGGCTTAGTCGCAGCAAAAAAAAAATCCACATTGGCGAAGTCACGCAGATGACAGCTATGGTAAGACAGGACATCCAAACGCTCGCCTATCATGCATCCACCACAAATATGGCTTATCATCTGCAATATGTAAGTAGCAGCGACGTTACATGGCCGTTCAATCTAATGTTAACCTAAAGAAATGTTTGGAGCTGAACAGTAGCTCTCGCTGCAGGACAGATTGAGGCGCCGCTGCGCTCACTTGCTCTTAAAATACTCCCTCATTTTTGCTCATACAGATAAGAGTAATACATCTTTCACATCTGTAAAGACTCGACGCTTATTTGTGTGCACTCGCAATAACAACAAAACATTGTGCTTTTGTAAAATAATGAAAGCAAACAGGATGCACTTTCTTTATGATCACATTCATAATCATAGCTTCTGCGGTGTGCTGTGGCAAGCTTTATGCGTGCGTTTGAGCGCTTATTACGCTTTGTAAGCAATTAAAGGATCATTATAATGATTTAAATGGTTTATTAATAAACGTGCGATTAGTCGACTAATGCTTAAAGGAACACTCCACTATTTTT